TTTTAATCTATCTTTATGATGAAAATAAAGTCTCAAGACTCTTAAAAAGCTGTAATAAAGGGAGGGGGGAGGGACAGTATTAGGAGATATACCTAATGTAAATGACAAGTTAATGGGTACAGCACACCAACATGGCACATGTATACATATGTAACAAACCTGCACATTGTGCATAAGTACCCTAGAACTTAAAGTATAATTTTTTAAAAAGCCGTAATAAAAAATTGTTTCCCTACATAGCGGAAATGTTGCAAAAACATTAAAATATGCAAGCTCTTGATTTCAACAGTGTTTCAACCAAAGGTGGAAACTAAGAAAGACTAAATAAAGCCAGAGCCTAAAATCATTTTGGTGATCTATTAAAATTCACTTATTTATTCATTAACACAAGCTATGCCCTCACTTTTTAACCCTAAAAGTCAGTTCTCTCATATCCAAGACCTCATACCAAGTGACTGTGTGTCTTCGATTCTAAGTAAAACAAATACAGTGTGTTTTCCCATCCCACATATTCAAAAGTGTTTCTGCTACAAGCAATAAAAACGATGCAATTTCATGAAATGAATAAGGATAGATGAAATGATTAAATACATAATGTCAGTGACTATTAGTTTAACTCACATAAACACAAAATTTTAAATATCAAAATTTCAAAATATGATTTGGCAAAGTAATTTTAATATTACAAAATTAAAGCTATAACTGGAGAACTAAATTAGCCTCACTGACACTCAATAACATACAACTTCACCAGAAACATTTTCACTTTCTAATTTACTTTGTCTGTGAAGCTGAAGCTAAAAGGGACTCTTCAAATATTTTATGTACTGGCCAATTTCTAGACGTCTGTACTCTGCCTGCACAGTAACAAGCTGGTGCTAATAAGCCATACATAAAGATCCTACTTATTAAAATACAAATTAGACACCCCTGATGTTTATACATGTGTAAGTACAATTAATATTGCAAGCTTCGTTGGAAACAAAATTGCTTTAGTTAACCAACCATTGCAATGCAATCAAATGAGATTTTAAATGCAATTGGAAAAGATCTGTTTGGTAGAAATAGCAATTATTTCATGCGGAACAATTAGCTTTCCAAGCTCTTTTTTGCTTCTCCCACCTGCCCTTAATAGAATAATTTGTCCATCATAAGTGACATGAAATGTCACCTTTAACACCCAGAAGTTGTATGGAGACCCAGAAGGCAGGTGGTAGACATAGCTTATTTGCAAATATTAGTTTGAACTTGTAAATGCATGACCACATAAATCTTAATCCATTTAGAGTGTACGCCCTTTGTTCCCTCAATTGTATATTCAGTTGGGAATTGAATGGAGCTGAGAGAGAGTGTGAATTGCATGAACCCTTTGTTGTTGCCAGCATATTAGTGCTTTGCCTTTTATTCTTGTTGTTCATGAGATTTCTCTACATTACACAGTAGGGAATGTTAATCAACATTTTGCCTGAGTAATATTAATGAAACTTGCCTACTTACACTTGAGGGAAGAATCAGAATATTACATTGCTCTTTGAAATGTTAATGTACCTTTTAGGAAATTATGTCTGCCTTCTAAATCATCTTAGTGTTAAATTATTAAAGGATGGCATTAAAGAAATATTGCACCGATGCACATTGTTAAATACCTTAAAAGATAAAAAGAATTATAAAGTTTAAAAGAAGGACCTTTTGAAAGATGGTAGATTTATCTTCAAATTAAACATTTTTAAATGTTTGGTTAAAGTATTGAGAAAATTTACAATTGTTTTGTGTGCTTTCACAAAACAAGAGATTTAATGTTAATGATTTCTAATTTCCAAACATCAATTTGAACTGTATTCTGTTCTGGTCTTGAAGGATTTATTTAACCTGCCTGTATCTGTGCATTAAAACACCATCCAGTTTACTAGAAACAACAACAACAAAAAAGCTGAGAGGAGTGTATTATTTTTGTACTTTTTATTTATTTGAGTCTTAAGATTAGATAGTCTTCACTGAGGTTCTATTCTCCAAGCACAAAAACGACCACTATCTAAACCTTCTATCACTCTATGGCATTTCAAAGGGAAGGGCTATCATAAAGACTATGTATGGCTGCCAAGGTAAGATATGGGAAATAGCAATTCTCAGTGTGCAAACTGTGACAGACATGTGTCCTGTCAACATCATTCACGGTCCTTCAGGAAGGATGCTCAGGAAATGAGTTGACAGGACTCTAAGTGGTCTAACTTGTTTTCCCTTTAACAGTCTCTTTTGATATCAATCAGTGTGTTGATAGGCCCTAAATAAACTGTGAGGTAACCAAGGGGGAAATTAGGAACAGAATTTGTTCAAGAATTCTCCCACATGGTGACCACTATTTGCTAAGAACTCCTAATACTTACTGGGCAAACAATTCAGTTTCTATTTCACCATACAAGAGTTAGTAATGGCTTTTGTATTATTGTGGGCCTGACTTGTCCTCTTGCACAATGTTCTTTAGCAGTACTGCTACTTGGATATATGCACTGAAAAAATGGATAATAGGAGTTACATTTCAAGGTAATTTTTTTCACATTTTGACATCTCTAAGATACAATTGCTGATGCATCATAATTTAAGTGTCTTTTTTGGGGGATGCGTGGGGGAGATGGGGTCTCTCTCTGTTGTCCAGGCTGGAGTGGTACAGTGGCGCAATCTCAGCTCACTGCAACCTCCACCTCCCAGGTTCAAGTGATTCTCCTGCCTCAGCCTGCCAAGTAGCTGGGATTACAGGCATGTACCACCAAGTCCAGCTAATTTTTGTAGTTTTGGTAGAGATAGGGTTTCACCATGTTGACAAGGCAGGTTTCGAATTTCTGGCCTCAAGGGATCCACCCGTCTTGGCTTCCCAAAGTGCTGGGATTACAGGTGTGAGCCACCGTGCCCGGCCAAGTGGCTTTTTCTTAGAAATAAGTAAAATAAATAGAATGACTAAGTGCCTTACAATTGATGATATACATTCAATAAAATATGGTAATAGTGAACTTGAATTGAGAGTTTTTGTGTTGTGTTTGTGTTGTGGTCACCTATTACCTCAATATAGAAAACAAAATTATTGCCAAATGTTAGTGTTAATGAGACCAATATTAAAGAGTTCACAATATAATTAGGAAATGAAACCTAATGTCTAGAAATTAATAAATACTTAAATAAAACAACACCAGTGATACAGGCATTACTACAACCCTACTTGCCAAGTTAATTTTTTTCCACATTATTGCTCCTTAAAAAAGTGAAAACGACATACAACTAATCAATGACTACTTAAAATACTACAAAATGACTTTAATGCAAAGAAAAAAGGGTGTTTTGAACAGGGAATGTATAATCTATGTATTTCAAAGGTTGATTTTGTGTGTCCATTTTGAGTTCTCCGAATTACTGAAGATTCAAACTAAAACAGCACCAAGCGTATTACATCCATGCTAGGCAGAATACATGTGCTAGCCACACATCTATTATGACTTTACACGGCTTTTACCATGCATGCTTTATGTTGTGGGAGATAAGAGAAGAGTAATTTATATTTAATGTTGTTAACCAAACATATATTTAGCTAGATTTGTTTTGCTGCATTTTACCTATTTGCAAAAACGAAAAAAAAAACCGTTTCTATTTAAAAGCAACTAAGTATATTGCAAGCCCCTTCATTCACTAGATGAGCTTACAGTTTGCTCGATGCTCTAGGAGCTTATGTTTTTAGCTTAATCATTGATTTTTTTCCTTAATATATCATGGATAGCAAATTGATCTTTATTAACCTATATATGATAAAGGTTGTAGACAAAGCCAATACCTACATAATATTAATACCAATCAGATTAAGTGATATGATCAGCTTAGTAGAGAATCAAACAAACTAGCAATTGTCAAATAGAGTCTCTCATTAGTAGACTGTTTAAAATACATAAATTAGTGACAAACAGTAAAAAACAAATAATGTCACAAGTATCAAGAATGAAAGTCTATGTATTATATAAGTGAATTAAATATCATTTAGTGCATTTTCCTTTGATATTCAACATAATCATACAACACAAAGAAGTGCTAATTCCTAAACTTCAGTTTAGTGTCTATTGAAGCACAACTACATACCTTCAAATTTGAGACTTTTGCTTTGCAAAGAGTACAATTAAGCTGTCGCTTACATTCTAAACTTATTTTAAATGTGGGAAGGTAGAGGGGAGTTGGTTATATCTCCAGAATGAATTGTCCAGAAGTTTTCTGTGATCAGAAATTATAAAAAATTTTCTTTCATTACAACTGTAATCATGCAAATATGTAACAGAAGTAATTTCTGATTATTAAGGAAATATCTTTTTTACTATGCCCCTTGGCCATAAGAGGATAAATGACAGATATGCAGACCTTACCACAAGGAGAATTTCTGCTATTTCTATAAACTAGTAACTCCTAGTTTACAAAACAAGTTTATTAAAAAAAAAAACATGCAACTGCTAATGTCAGCTGGCATTTCTCAAAGTAGGCCAGAGTAGAAGAGAGATTACTTAAAAGTGAAACAAATTAAATTTTAAGAAGCTGAATATACTCATTCTCACTTTCATTATATTGCCCACCGTCATGGTGATTATAATATGTATACTGCTTCTTAAAAACTCAAAGTACTTAAAGGCAACTTTTTTCAACTTGTATATTCATAATCTCGACAAAAATTATTCAGATATTAAAATGTAATGCTATTTTTAATGTATTTTATAAATAATGTACCTTTAATTACGGAAGAACATTTCAAGGGTTTTTTTTTTTTTTTTTTTTTGGTAATATGGAACATAAGAAAGTACATTTTGGCTAACTTAATTGGCCCTGATTACCCAAAAGCAACTTCTTTAAAAAGCAACAAGTGTGGTTATTTTTAATCCCGTAAGATTCCAACATTAAAATATATTTTAATATTAACATAATTATCCATACGCAATATGTCAAGCTACTTAAACCAAGTAGTTAAAAGGGGTTCTTACTGCAAAATCTTCCCTCCACTGGTGAGCTGCTTGAACTTTCTCCGCTTCCAATGCCAGGCGCTGAAAAACAAACAATAAATCTTAGAATTCAAATGACCACATAATATGGAATTGTTATATAAAATGCTTGGGCTTTCTAATCAATTATGAGGACATAAAAAGCAGAAGATGATCATTATGATTCATAAATTCTAAATCATTTAGTAATCTAACCTACTAAAGTTGATGTATGTATATTTACTCTTTAGCAATATAAATAATATACTATTCTTGAATACCACTGAGTTTGTTACCTCTGCCATCATCAGCTATAGTGTCCTCTATGAGTGCTTTCTTTCAATGACTAATACTTCAGTTTTTAGAAAAAAAACTTGAGTATATTAATTTTCATCTTATTTTTAGTAAATACCTTTAGAGCATATATTTCTCTAAAAAAAAGACACTGAGAGATTACTATGCACTAATATACTAGGCATCTTCTTAATTGCATATTGCATTTTTACCAAAAGCCACAAAAGCTGAAATAACTTCCCCTTTGCTGAAGCACATCTTTAGTAGTTCTTTCAGCAATAATCTTTGATAGAGGATTTGTGCATCTGAAAATTGCTTGATTTCACCTTCAATTGTATATGCTAAGGTAGTTAAGAATTATAAGCCAATTTATTTTCCTGTAGCACTTTTGAAATGCTATTCCATTAAGTTCAGTGGGAGATGACAGTACTAGTGTCAGCCTGCTAATTACTTTTTATAAACATTTTTCCCCAACTCCAGTAGCTTTTAGACTTTTCTCTTTGTATTTTTCAACTTCACTATGATGTTCTCCATGTGATAGGCTTTCATAAGACAGTGACGTTTAATGGTTAGCAACACAGAGTTGGGGACCTGACTGTCTGGATTTGAATACCAGCCCTTGCAAACTACTAGCTGTGCAACCTTGGGAAAAGTTAAGGTTCTTCTCCCATTATCTCATGTGAATAACGTAAAAGCCTGCCTCATGGCTTATTGGAAGGACTAAATGAGTTATAAAGTGTTTAGAACAGTGCTTGGCACACAGTAAACAATATATATATGTCAGCTATCAACTTCAAAGAGTAATGGTTCTATTTTCTCCCTGGATCCCCTTGAGAAAATAGTGCAGTGTTGAGTTTATTTGTGGTTTGCCTTATGCAGTTAGAAGATAGTGATAAAACTGAGCAAACAGAAAAGTAAATAAAATAAATATACTAAACTTACTTATTAAGGTATAGAAATTATCAGGTTAGGTTTAAAAAATTACAAATCTCAGAGTCGTTTATTGATTCATGCTGTTTGTGATCTACAAACTATTCCTTAGTATAAGTTCTTCCTGTGGAGGTCCAGTCTACACTGGATAAACATCTTTTAGATCAGTTTTTATGTTAATGTATTGGCTTCTATCCCTGTGATTTGTTATAATCTATTCATTTTTCTAAGCTGTTACATAGGTTTTATCAGTGACTCTGTAATATCGCCTAGCAGGAGATCTCAATTTAAGAGTTCCAAAGCTAAATTTAAGTGAAAATGTACCATAGCGTGCTAAAAGGACAATGGTTTTGGTTTTCACTACTAGGCAGAAATGGAATATATAAGGAGCTAGGAAGTGTTAGAAACTGTACCACGTAGAGTAACCAAAAGGCGGCTCCCTCTCCCTACAAAAACAAAAACTAAATTGCAAAGCCAACAGACAAGCATATACATTTCAGAAACACTGCATCATAACACTTTTGGAAACTCAACTTCAAATGAAAAATGAAGCAAAAAATGAATAAAACGGCAAACAGAATGGAAATGGAAGCAACTCTTTTATAGAAACACTTCAGTATGGGAAGATAAAGAGAAGACAGAATGAGAAAATAAGCAGGAAAGCTTTTTCTTTTTTTCTTTGTTTTGATACAGGGTCTCACTCTGTCTGCAAGCCTGGAATACAGTAGTATGATCATAGCTCACTGCAGGCCTGCAGCCTTGACCTCCTGGGCTCAAGTGATCTTCCCACTTCAGCCTCCTAAGTAGCTGGGACTACAGGTGTGCATCAAGAAGTCCAGCTTCTTTCCTCTTTTTCTCCTTTCCTCCTTTCCTCCTTTCCTCCCTTCCTCCCTCCCTCTCTCCCTCTCTCTCTCTCTCTCTTTCTTTCTTTCGTAAAGTTGGGTCTCAAACGCCTGGCTTCAAATTATCCTCCTATCTCAGCCTCGCAAAGTGCTGATATTGCAGGCATGAGCCCTCCTGCCCGGCCAAAGACGTGCTCTTGACAAAATTCACAACATAAATCTTCCCCATTTTAAAAAGCAATATAATAACTAAACTTTTATATGTATGGGCAAAAAAAAAAAAAAAAATTTCCAGAACTTAAACAAAATACCGCATAAAATATTAAACATTTTTAGATTAAGAAATATTACAACTCTAAAATGTCTTTGGGTCTTAGAGAAGAATATTCAGATTTTTCTTCAGAATACACAGGAGGATGCCGTTTCAGCAGACAAAACACACTAGTGAGCATTCACCCACAGGGCTCTGTAGTTTCCAAGGCACCAGCTGTAACTCTACCAGATCCTTCCTCCTTGGGAGTGCATGAGAAAGTGCAATTTACCTGATCTCCCCCAGAATCACGTGGCTTATGACTTGAACACAATCTATGTTTAGTAAGTTATAGTGACAGTAATCATCACAGTTAACTATTTCCAGAGAAACAGAATAACAATGGCAATACACTGTAACACAATTCCTTAGGAGGAAGAGAGTCCAAATCAGCTTTATGTATATGTATTCTGAACACTAATTTTATAAAGTAAATGTCCTGTATTGCAAGACTCTGAAAAAGTTTTTAGAAAAATAAAGAAAGGCATGAAGTTATGTGTACCAAAGAAGTTATGCACTTTAAAAGGCTGGTCTGAAGCTTACTTTAAAAGGCTGGTCTGAAGCTTGAAAGTTGTTAAATTTCATATCCCCAGGTTGGAATTTTAGAAATATATAATCGTGAAAACTCTACTCCTGTTAATTTCGTTGTTCATGAAGAAATTAATAAATATTTTTACCTAGCAAATTTCATGAGAAAGCATATAATACTAAACTTTAGATACTTAGTCTATCTTGAGACTAGAGTCAACAGTCACAGTGGTGCTATTTCTCGTGCAAAAAACCAGCTGGTCTTTACTTATAGAAAACTGACATGTCTTCTAGACACATAAAGTCTTTAATTCACTTCCGTTTTAGTCAACTGACATTTTATTTTTAAAGCTAATGAGCTACCATTAAATGCCATTGGTGAATTGTGTTAAGGCTGTCAAAGGCCAGGCGCATGGCTCATGCCCGTACTCCCAACACTTTGGGAAGGTGAGTCGGGAAAATCTCTTGAGGCCAGGAGCTCAAGAGAAGCCTGGGCAGCATAGTGAGATCCTGTCTCTAAAAAAAATAACCCAGTTAGCCTGGCATGGTGGCACATGCCTATTATCCCAGCTACTCAGGGGGCCGAGGCAGGAGGGTCACTTGGATCCAGGAGTTCAAAGTTACAGTGATCTATGATGGTACCACTGCACTGCAGCTGAGCTACAGTGCAAGACTCTGCCTCCAAAAAAAAAAAAAAAAAATTAAAAAGAGACATAAAACATCCAATAAAATGTGAGTATCTGCTCAATAGAACATTCCTGTTTTCTCAGCTGGCTATATAAGTATATCCTGTAACAGTAACTTACTTCAGAAAAAGAAAAAGAAAAAAAAATTATTTCTGATTTATGGCACAGTATAATACAGCATCAGATCTTAAAACCAGACAGAGTACCACACAGAAATAAAAAACCTGGATTACAATGAATACCTATGAGAAAAATTTGAAGCTTAATTCTGCTAATATTAAGATATTCAGCAAGGTTTATTAAATGGCTTTGTTGTAAATGAGATATTACATGTATATATGAAAATCCTTTGGATATCAAATAAGTATTTATACAAAGTAATAGATGTGTTAAGAATGTATGCATCCCTACCTACCTATTGGTTTGAACATTTAAAACAGAAAATCACTGTAAAGGCTTTAAGGACTTACAACTATAACAAAAATATACTTGACCCCAGACTTTCTGACTCCAAAGCTTATGCTCCTTCCACAAGACCCTTCTTTAGATTCCCATAAAACCCATCACAGTATATATGAAGACAGAGTAATATCAAAACCAAAACACTAGTAGAATTCTATTTTAGGTTAATAAAAAAATCCCCAGCAAAGTTTTAGAAATTACTAAAAAATGAAAAACAAAGTCAGCAGCAACAACGAAAACCATATTTTAGTTGGGAACCATCTTTACAGGTCTTATCCTCAAATCCTGAGAGATTATTGCTAATCAGTAAAAACGCTTTTGCTATGCAGTGGTCTGCAGGGGGAAGGATAGAGAATGGAAGAGGTTTTATCAGATCAGAGAAAGATCAGCTCCCTTGAAGGTCTATTCATTCTCAACCTTTACTTTTTGTCATATCTTCATCTTTTCCATTAGCATTGAATTCTGTCAGATGATATGAACTTCTATAAAAGCAGTATTATACAGTATATAAAGATATAATTCTACTGTCCTAATCAATATCCACATATATTTTTCCAAAAAATAGACTATTTTCCAAACATGTAACTTGCTTCCTAGATTGCAAATTTATTGCAAATTAAAGATAAAATTTGCTTTCTGAAATTATGAGAAATTTTCTTTTGATAGCTTTAAAAAGAAACCATCAAGGATCATATAACAGTTCAGTTAGAGTCCCATAATGTTGGTACTCTTGTTTATATACAAATATTTGACTTACAGACACCATTTAAACAAATATCACTAAATTTCAAAACAATGTCTTCAGCTAATGTAAGTCAAGATTTTCCTTTTTAATAAAAGGTAATAGTGATCTACAACAGCAAATTCAAATAAAACATGCATGTGGTATGTGATTAATCTTCAAACAGTTAACACCCATTACAGATTAGTAAATTGTATTATACCTATGTTGACAATTCAATTATCACTCTAGGAGTTTCACCTACTATCTTCATCAAAAGGTTCTTAGCA